GCAACACTTTTGGAAATATTTTATTAACATTTTAAAAAAGATTAGTTTAAATATATAGCATTTTCAACATTACCAACGTTAAATCTTGAAGTTTTAGCAATCTTAAAATAATCGTGAGAACTTGAATATGATTTCTGTACAATTTGCTTTAAGTTTTTATCTCTTGGTATTTTGAAGTGGATGACTTCTAATGTCACCTGGATTATTGTTGTTCTGACTAAAACAACAATTCCTAAAATTATAAATTCTTGTAAAAATTAAATTACTCGACTTATATAATTAATATTATTGTAATTAGAGGTGGGCGTCGGCCGGTTCGGTTTGATTTTTATGAAGTTCGGTTCGGTTCGGTTTGTTCGGTTTTTGGTTTTCTATTTAGTGCACCAATAATCGAACCAAAATTAGTTCGGTTTCTTCGATTTTTGCTAATTCGGTTCGGTCGATATTCAGTTCAATTCGGTCAGTTTTGAACAATGAATAATAATTCCTATTCCACTCCACGTGATGCCTTACATAAAAAAATTGCCGAACACACTTAGTCAATTCAATGACTTGCTGTTCAAAGGTTGAACAACAAAAGGCCCCAGAAATTTCATTTACAGTGTGCAACACAACTTTGAAAGTTCTTAACTGAGCTCTGGATTTTGAGTCTTGCTCTTCCTCTATCTCTAAAATCTAACTCATACTGTCTTGACACCTTATTGTAATGAGGAATATTTAAAAACAGTTGATTCACTTTGTCCATATGTTCCTCCCAATATGTGGGTAGCCCGTCGAGAAAACTATGCCCTCTATGAAAACTTCGATTTTTGGGTTTAACCGAAAATCGAAGTTGTAAAATCGAGCACCGAACCGAACACCGAAATTATAGAAAACATAAACCGCAAACCGATCGAATAAGCGAAAAATCCGAAACCGAAAAAATCAAAGTTTACGGTTCGGTCGATTTTTTTGATTCGGTCGGTATTATGCCACCCCTAATTGTGATTACATTCCAAATATTAGGATCTCCTATATAGTTTAAATAGAAAAATATTTAATAGTCAAAATTATAGTTAATTCCTAAATATTAGAAAGTACAAATTAAACGATAATTTTGTCCAGTGTAAAATTTATTTTTAAATAATAAAAAGGTCGATCAATTTTGTGTTGAAACTTCGTGCTTTTGTAATAGTCTAGAGTGACTGAAGAAGACAAAACTAAAAGAAAAGTGAAGCATTGTTTTCTTATATATTTAGTAGTTTTTAATTTTAGTCTCACATTATTTATCACATAGTTAGAATAAATTAATGTAAGATGTTGTAAATACTCAATGAAGTAAATTGTTCTTTAAAAATATTACTCATTGATGTTAAATTTTTATTTTATTCATCATCGATACAACTAGAGTATCATTAGAATGTCACTTAATTGCCTAACTACTTTAAAGAACGTCTACAACTTTTACTAATATTCCAAATAATCAACTTTTAAATATTTAGTTAAGGTAAAAATTTAATCCGCTTTAAAGTCCTAGAATTTAGGTATCCAATTTAAATAAGGAAAGATTTAAAGTCATCTCACATGACATCTCTTTATGAATACATTCTGGCTTTTACTATTTCATCCTTATTTCTTAAAGGTTGTATTTAACCAATCTAATTCTTAATACTACAATCGATTTTATTTTATATTCAGATTTTTTTTACCGCTAATTTTACATATATGATGAATTTAGAAAGGAATAAGATTAGATCATCTTTCTAGTTAGTTAATTCAAATCCGAAAAAAAGACAATTCAAATATTTAATTATATTTTTAATCACTAATAGAAATAATTTATTTTTTGAGGATTTAAATTATTAATATTAGCTCATAGACATAAAATAAATATTTAATTATAATTATATATTTATCCGCAAAAATTCTTTTGTCAAATGATAAAAAAATTGAACTTTTGCACTTTATGTTTGTCGTAGCGTTAGTAAATAACTTTTATCAATCACCTTTCTCTCTCTTTCTCTTGCTATTATTAAATATTTTGGTAATTATTTTTTCTGATTAAGTTTTAAAATCTATATTAATATTTATATTTAAGTTAATTATTGATCGAAGAATAAACTTATTAGCCAATGGACCAATCTCACACAGAATACTCATGTATAGGTTAATTACTGATTTGTTTACATCATAACTGTTCACCTAAAATTTAGCATGATTATACATTTTCTTTTGAGCTAAAAAACGTTCAATTGTATAAAATTCATATATAAGGTAAACCAATAAATATTTGGTGATATTTAATTATATTTATTTTTTAAATTCATAAAAAATAAAACTTTAACAATTTTAAAGTACTAAATAGAAGGAACTCTTGCTTAATTCAAGTAAGTAAAGGTATAATAAGTTACAAATCTTATTTAATTTTAAACTCTTAAATATTAGGTAGAAGAATAATCAAATAACTATTTTATCTAGCGTAAACTCTATTTTAAAAGGGTAAAAAAAGCGAACAATATTTCGCTAAGGGTTTTCGTACTTTTAATATATACTAGTATCTATAAACGTGCGTTGCACGTTAATAATGATACAAATATTTATTTATATGAAGGAACAATAAAATTTAATTAATGAGAAAAATTTTATATAATACTACAACAATCATCTAAATGCCGAAAAATATTGTTACATTAGCATAATACGTGAATTCAAAATGAAAGGGCATCTTCAGAACTTACATAAATGATCAATTTTAGTCATGTTAAGTAGATAATTATGTATTGTAGTTAAAGGTATCTAATGTGATGGTATCTTACCGAACACTTCTTTGTATAATGTGTTTTTTTATATGTTTCCTTATAATACTTTGGTTATTCTGCCATAACCAGAACTCTTGTTGTCGATATTGATATCTCTCTTGAAAGTGCAACATATAGTTATTCGCGTGAGAAAATATATTGTGGTAACTATAGTCCAATATTTAGGATGTTTATCCTTGTTTTTATTTATTATAACTACAAAAAAACATAAACATACTGAAAATTATTTTCACACAAATTTAGAAGGATATTCTTTAGTTTCGGAAGATGAAAGTTGAATTCAGGGTTAAACACATACTTAGAAACACATTGATTAGTATCATAAGTTCTGCATATATGATGTTATTGTCAAAACTTTTATATACCGTATGTGTACTATTACATAAGTTATTCAGCAGATCTAAGTTTTCAGTAGCATGACGGGCATATTTTTCTTCAAAATAAACCTATATGCAATGGAAGATCAATTTTAACTTAGTCTATTATATATACGGAGAAATAATAAACTTGACAGCAAACATGTAGGGCAGAAGGCTATTTGGTATTAAAGTATTTAAGTATTTTCTTCGTAGTAATTGTTGGTATCATCTTGTGTTGAGTCAAAACTGAAAAATATTTTATTTTTACCATAAGACTTCGCAATCAACCTTTTACTTAGTTGATCAACAAATTAATTTTTGCTAGCTACGATAGTTCTTTAATTTCAATTATGTAATTCTCATAAATTGTGTTTTAATCTAATGATGAAAATATTCTCCTTATTAAATGCACTACTATTATGATTGGGGTTGATAACCAAGTGTTATAGAAAGAACCAAATCATATTTTATTGGATGCTCTTCTTCGTTTCTGACACGAAGCAAAAAGTCATTGAATATTGGATTTGTTCTTTCTTTTATATTTCTAGAGCAAAAAATAAGTTATTACAACTATGTTTTTTCCATATGAGTTTTTTTGTTTAATATTTTAGGGCTATTTTTGGTCTATCAATATTATATTCGTATTTTTATAATAATATAGGCTCTCCTGTTTCTTAATGAATTTGGACAATATGATACGTTTTCAAATTAAATTAGTAATAGAAATTTTTTAAAAAGTATATATCATAAAAGTTATAGGATTACATGGCTAAAAATATGTCCATATCCCGAAAGTAATTATACTAATAGAAAATCTAACATGTTCCTAAAGGTATTAGGTTTACATGCTAATATGTAGTATTATATATCTATGCCCGAATATAATTATACTAATGAGATTTCTAAAGGTAATCATGTAGGATTTCTAACGTGTAGTATTATGTCCTAAAACTAGTAGGATTACAAGGCTAATGTCTAGAATTCCGGTTATGTCCTTTTTATTGTGAGTTATTATGCTTTAGATGATTGTTGTATTATTATATATAAAATTCTCTCATTAATTAAATTTTATTGTTCATTCATATAAATAAATATTTAAACCATCATGTACCATTATAAATGTGGGAACCCCAAAAGTTAAAAGTTAAATTACTGAAATAATCTTCTAAATAATTGAAATGTACCTTATTTAATTATTTAATAATATTTAAATAAAAGAAAGTGACTTTTGGACATTTACGAAACGTCTTGTACTCTTGTTAAGGAGACTCTTGGACTTTTCATAAGCGGAGTGTGCTGACATTGCGTAGTGTAAATTTTATTCTGTATATATGAATTTCAGTAGCAACAAACATTGAAATTCTTTTTTTTTAAAATAAAAAGAATAAAATCTAATTCCTAAAGGTAATCATATATGATTCTTAACGTGTAGTATTATGTCCTAAAACTAATAAAATTATAATGCTAATGTCTAGAATTCCGATTATATCCTTTTATTGTAAGTTATTATGTTTAATATTAAAAGGTTATTTTTGTAATCTAACATTTTATTCATACTTTTGTAATTATATAAATAAATATAGATATATTTTAATAAACTTTATTAAGAGACTTATAACTGATAACTAATTTTGAAACTATTTGTTGCTGTTAAGCATGTTTATTAACATAAACCATTTAGATATATAGATAGATAGATTATTATTATTATTCCTATTATTATTATTATTATTATTATTATTATTATTATTATTATTATTATTATTATTATTATTATTATTATTATTAATAATAATAATAATAATAATAATATTATTTATGGCAGTTCGCCGGCTGAATGAGCGACCTATGGGGTAACACTGATTTTCGTCTACATCAAAAGGTTACGGAGGGGTTTTAGACTAAAACCCTAATCCCAGGCAGACAATGGCAGTGTTGAGCTGGAAGCAAGTGTTGGAAGACAACAACACCACTGACCCAAACTCCATTACTTCTCTTTCCCTTACTCACAAAGCTCTTTCTGATGTATATTTATAAATTTCCAATCTTTCTCTCTAAAAAAAAAATCCAATTTTCTTGTCTCATAGTGTTGCATTTCAAGATTTCATTTTTCTATGCAGGTTTCGTGTTTGAGCGAGTTCAAGAATTTGCAGAGGCTTGATCTTGGCTTTAATAATTTAACTTCACTCGAGGTAATTAAACTATTTTTTTTTGTCTCTTTATTTTTGGGTTCTAAGATTTGAGGACTCACTTTTTGTTAATGAAATTATAGGGGTTGAAGTTATGTGTGAATTTGAAGTGGCTGTCTGTTGTACAAAACAAACTTCAGAGCTTGAAAGGGATTGAAGGGCTTATTAAACTCACTGTGAGTACAGCATTTTGGTTCCCTTTTTTTGCCATCTTTTTTTATCCTTCTAATTATTAGTAGCTATTTCACTTGCAAAAGAGGGAAGTAATGAGCTTGTTTAGAGTGTATTTTTCTATATGCATAATTTGTTACTGACTTTTCTGCTTTTGAGTACTTTTTAAACTTTTGTGTTAAAAGGTCAGATCATGCTACAATCTGTGAGACATCTCAAGAAGTGGAAACGAATAACCTGAAATTTGAAACTTGGAGTAACATAGGAAGCTCAATATTTTCTATTCTACTAAACTATCCTGTTGTCTTTCGCTGTCCTTTACATATGCATACATACATAACATATACACTACATTCACACACACATATGTGTGTGTGTGTCTCTGTGTGTGTGTGTATGTGTGTATATATTGCCATTATCTTTTAGCCTTCTTTGTAAATATCGTTCTCCAAAGATTAAAGATTACAAGGAGGGTTGACTCATCAAAAAAAAAAGAAAGAAAGAGAGAGAAGCTAATCAGTGCACTAAACAATTTGTTGTAGATAAAGAGGGGATAAAATAAGAATGATGGCCCTCCATTGGTGCCTTTTTGATACATATTTTGCGTCTGCACGTGCCAGATAATCATAGTAAAGTACAAGAAGGAAAAATAGTGGAGGAATAAAAACACTAGAAATAAAAGCATGTATACATTAAAAGACGATTCTTACTGATTTCTTGATGAGTAAAGAGACTACAAAGTCAATTGTTTAAAGTCTTATGCACTTGCCTTAGTTATGTTACTGAGATCTTGAGTACGGGTGGTCCTTATTGGTTGAATTATATAGTTTAGGGTGAGTAGAGATAAATTTTAATTTTGGTTGAAGTGTGCCAATTCTTAAGTGTCTTAGTTCCCTGTGTCAACATTTTTTATACAATTTACACGCCATTATTCCAGCCCCTCTTTTCATTTGATAGTTTCTGTCTGTTAAGAGGATGCTGTAGCATTTTCTTTCTTTCTATCTCTCTCTCTATCTCTCTCCAATTGTTTATGACATCATTCTCCACCTTTATACTTATCAAAAGACTGCTTTCTCTGTTTTAACTCTTCTTGGCATTTGGAAATTGATTGATTGATTAATAAAACATATCCAAGTACAGATTGCCAGGCATAGAGCAACTATATCTTCACTTGTCAAAATGAGCAACTATAGTTTTTTCCTGCTTGAGGGGGAAAATGTTAAGAGTGCCTAGGACTTGTATGTTCATTATCTTTTAGGTTGTTTCTTTAATTAATGACCAAACAAGATTCTATATACTCCTTACATTATTTTAACTATCATGGGATAATCTCATATTTTTTGCATTCCAAATAAGCCAGATGAGGCATAACGGTGTTGTTCTTTAAGCTATGCAATGCTTGATTCGCTGTCTTTTGATAATACTTATTAGACGATAAACATATATAAAACCAAGCTCCATATCAGTGGTGTGATACTACAATGCAGCAAGCGGGGATATTGCACAAAACTCACGATGATTCGCCTCCTCCTCAAGCTTTCTGTAGTTAAGATTACATTTCATGCTGCTCACACTTCCCTCTTCTCCCATTCTTCTGATAATTCCATCTAAAAAACTCACTTGAATAATTTTGCTTTCAACTCACCCCATATCTTTTCGTTACCCCAAAGATGTGGGTAATATTTTCCTCTATTGCACATTGGTAAATTCTGTAAGATACGCAACCTCATCCCACTCAGTCCTATAAGGTCGCCTAAAATTTCCACCATGCATAATTTTCTGGTTATCCCTTCTTAAATAATTTTAAATAATTGGTCCACTCCATATCATTTAGCACTCTGAACACCCGTGGGTATGCATCCTTCAGGATTGCCACATCTTACCGCACATCCTCTGAGAAAAGTATTCTTTTTCGGCTAGTGATTTTATGGCCAAAGTACTATAACATGTTCTTTCCCTTTAAGACACCTCCATAAACTCACCTCATGCGATTGTGTCACAATATTTCTTCTTCTTTTTACTCCATAGTTTGAGGTGCTTACAGCATCAGTTGATGGCTACTGAATTGATCGGTCTTTAATCTTTAGATCTAAAAGAGGTAAAAAGTTTTTGGCTTTTAATACCACTTCCGTGCTATATCAGGTACTGAATGCTGGAAAAAACAAGCTCAAATCTATGGACGAGGTCAGTGGTCTTGCTAACTTGCGAGCACTGATTTTGAATGGTGAGCTTCGGTATATGTACCACTGTTTTTCTCCATCAGAGCTTAGTATCTGCTGGAGAATTATTTTTATATACTGACCGACTTTTGCCTTTCTGTTGCAGACAATGACATTTTTTCGATTTGCAAGCTTGATAAAGTGCAAGAGCTGAATACATTAGGTATGGGCTCCTCGATCTCAAATTTTATATTTTCATGATTAATGGCTAGTATGTGATTGAGCATGGTGTAATATATAGTTTGTTATTCTGCTAACAGTGCTCAGATCAAACAGATTCCCTGTTCTTATATTTGTGAATTTCAGTATACTTTCTTTAGCAATACAAATCCAAAGGATCCATTAGTGTGACTGATTCAGGTGACACCAAGATGCACTCAAGAGAACAAGAACATACCATGATAAATCTCAACTCCTTATACCTCGGTTGCTATGACTTTTACATGCCTAGGCATTTGGTTATAAAGTAAAAACTGAGAATCAGCCATAGAGATACTAATCTGTTAACATAAAGAATTGGATAAAGTTGGTTGACCTCCCAATCATTCGTTTAGAGAACAGGGTTTGGAATCAAGAAGATAACAAGGTTTTTGGTAGCTAGTTATATCCTGGATACGATTGTATATGTTTAGTTCAAAGAAATAAAAAGAACGATAAAGAATAAGAATAACAATCTTTTGTGTTCTTTTAGTTTCCCTTGTCATATCCTTTTTATTTATTCGATCGACTCTTTATGATTTTTGTAGCGAATACTGCAAAATCGTGAAACATTGATGCTTAAGGCTTGACCGGCATCAAGAGGCTGTTATTAGCCTCCATTGGCTTGTCTGAAATCTTGTTTGCTACTTGTGTTGTGTAAGCGGCTGTAGTTACTTGCCCTGGGTGATTATTAGGCAAATTGCTAGTGCTAATTATACTGTAAAAAACCTGTTATCTTTTGGTCCTCTTTGACTGCGATGGTTGAACAATATCATTTGACTTTTTGTGCCACCACCACATATTGAATCGAGATGACTAGTACTTATATTAGTTGACCTTTCTGAACTTCATTGTCAAATTAGATTAATCTGATTGTTTTTCATTTTTGCCGTGCAATCAACTAAGTTGAAAGTGTCCCTCTGCCTTTGGTATCTGTTGCAGTCCTTTCTAGAAATCCTATATCTGGAATTGGGCAGAGTCTGGCCAAAATTAACTCAATCACAAAAGTAAGCTTCTTTATTTCACGTTTGTCTTTTACTGCATGATAATTCATTATGGTGTTCTCATAAATAAAAAAAATCATTATGGTGTTTACTATGTCCTGACACCGTATGTGCACCGGCCTTCTAGTTGTCTCTCTCTAATTGCCAGCTACAAGGTATTGACTCTTCACTCAAATCCTGCACTGAGTTAAAGGAGCTACGCCTTGCTCATAATGATATTAAGGTAAGTGCTATAGCTAATGATCAGTTATGCTGGATCGCAGAGGCTCCCTTAATTACCTGCGAGCCCTTTATTTTTCTAATTTTACATCCTCTCCATTGTTTTACAGACACTTCCCAATGAGTTGGCTTTTAATATAAAACTACAAAACATAGACATCGGAAACAATGTGATCATGAAGTGGTCAGATTTGAAGGTAGCCATTTTTGTAGATTTCATTTGTACCCTTAAAGTCCTCTTTGTTTGCTATACATCATCTCTTCTTATTTTGACAGTTATCTTCAAACTTTTCCTTTGCTGAATATGTGACTGTGTGGCTTTATGGTAGGTGCTGTCTTCATTGGTTAACTTGAAAAACTTAAACCTACAAGGGAACCCCATTGCTGAAAAGGAAGCTTTGGCCAAAAAGGTTAGTGCATACTTCTTCGCCTTTCTCTGGATTTGAAGCTGTAACATCATGTGCTGACTAACTATGTTTTACCAGATCAAGAAACAGCTGCCAAATTTGCAGATTCTCAATGCTAAACCTATTGAAAATGCCGTGAAAAAGGAAGAGGGTGGTAGAGTCGATGGTGAAAATGAAAGTGGTCATCTTGATAATGTCGCTTCTGATCGTAAGAGAAAGGAGTTGGTGCAAACAGAAAAAAGAACCAATTATGACGTGGGGATTCCACTCGTTGAACTTGGCACAAGAGAGGAACAAAAGCGCAAAAAACAGAAGAAGAGTGAAGTTTTGAAGGAGAAAGCATCAACCAACAAAAATGATACTGCCGTCGGGGATAAGGAACCAGCTAAAAAGTCTAGTAAGAAGGCTAAACAACATAAAGCAAGTGCCATTGACGATGGAGAAACTCCTTTTGCAGATCTTTTTGGTCCTGATTCATCAGAAGATCCATTGACTAGCAGTCGGAAGGGCGTTAATCACAACACACTCCAAAATGTTGATGCAGCTGCAGGCTTGGTTACGTTCCCCAAAAAGAAAAAGAAGAACAAGAATCTGGTAACTGGTGCTGCTGCTCTTCATTTGTCATCAGTAAGTGATGAAATTGGATTGGGTGGTACATCAACGTGGGGTGACTAGAAAAATAGCATCGCAGAGAAAATCAAGTAGCACCAAGCTGAGACTGTGAAGTTAGCTACTGTCATTTAAGCCCGGGCCTCCCATTTTGCTTGATTGCTGTGCAATAAGACGTTTGCACGGTTTACTTGAGAACAAATTGGTTTCACTTCCTGATAGAAGCTGTAATTTTTGGTGCTATTACTGCAAGTCTTAAGGGCCACAATTCTTTCTTGATAGCCAGATCATTGGGAAGGAAAAAGATGTTCCTTCTTGCTCTTGTTTGTCTTAGCCTCTTGGGTTTTTGGAAGAACAAAAATACCCAACTTGCTTTTAGCAGGAGTACTTGTTGGGAAGATTTTGTACTTGTAGAGACGTGGTAAACAAGCCTAATTTAAATTTTGTTTTTAGAACATATTGTGTTTTAGATAGTTAATGGTCGTGTTTCCAATGACACACTCACGAAGTGTTGTCTGCCTGAATTTCTAATGCATTAGTATAATGCATTAGAAACCAGAAGAATGACCCTTTGTGGCGGATTGGCAGTGATATTAGTCCCATTTTTCCTCCTATTTCTCCTCTACAATTCTCAGCAAACAAAGTAGGAAGTTTCTAAAGAAAATTCCAAGCAATGGTGCTTTGACTTGCAAAGATTCATTACTTAAAGTAAACTGCTCCATTTTAAGTTTACTGTAGTTTGAGCTTGCCATATTTACCCCTACTCCATTTTGACAAAACATTATTAAGTAGTACTTTAGCGTTTTTAGTTGACTGTGCAACACAATGGGTGACATTATATTTCGGGTACAAGACATTTGCGTATTAAGATGTTATCATTGAACTTTCTAAGATTCAACGACAAATAAATTAGAGTTTCAGGACATAAGCACTCAAAGGTGTGACATAGTGGTCAATGAAGCGGGTGCGAACGGAGGTAAAAAATATTAGGTGATTTCTTATCATCTGTTCAAGTTTTGATGGATAGAGTTACTCGGTATCTGTTGCTGACGAGAGGTGGCGGGTATCCCGTAAAATTAATCGAGATATGCGTAAGTTGGCTTGAATACCACTGTTGTCCAAAAAAAAAAAAAGAGTTTCAGGACATAAAACTTTCGACGTAAAACCAAAACTTCCATATGCCTAATTGAGATTTGTAGGTAGATGGTAACACTAGTTATCTTATAATTTTGAGGTTGAAGTTTAACTCTCACCAAGTTTTTTTCTTTTCATTTCTGCTACTTCGAACCTCCCCAACAATTTTAGTTACCCAAAAAAAGAAAAAAAAGCACCTCCCCAACAATTTTTCTCTTTCGAATGCACCTTTTTTGTCGGGGAAAGGGCCAAATATACCCCTTTAATTTCATATATTGCCTACATTTAACCTCCGTTATATTATCGGGCCAAATTTGATTTACCCCTACCGTTATACTATCGGTCCAAATTTACCCCTACAATCAACCAACTTTTAAAAATACCCTTGATCTGTTAAATAATCCAAAATCTCCCAAATTCTTTTTATTTAAATCACTTATTGTTCTTCTTGCTCCATTATTTTCAAAAATTACTATTGATGTGAATGTTAAAGTTACTAGACTATACAAATTATTCATAATTATTTTTTAATTACCAATGCACCCATTTCTCTTCCTGTAATAAATAAAATTGGCTTAGAATTTTATTCATTTTCAATCATATACACACCGTAGAATTTAGTGGGTCTATTTATGATGTATTATATGCAGCTGATCATCATGTATGTACATATATATTCAAATATATTTTGTCATTGCCTGGTTAGTATAGAGTTCGACCGACTAACTTAAGAGTGCACAATGTGTACGTATTTAATTAAAGCAAAGTTGAATTAGACAATGTAAAGTCTCCGAGGAACTTCAACTTCAATCACTAGTACTTGCAAAGTCTCCATAATTTTAGTGCAACGAATTCATTAAAATTGGGACGCTGTAAATACTTTTAGAATTTAGAAAAGCTACCTAATTTAGATTTTTCAATTTACTATACTTTATTTATTTGATTGTATTATTTAATATTTTTTTCTCTTATTTGTTTTTCTCTAATTCAGAAAGCAGGTAAATGCAAGTTATTTCAAAAATAGTGGACCAAGAAGAACAACAAGTGATTTAAATAAAAGGAATTGGGAGATTTTGGATTACTTAACAGATCAAGGGGTATTTTTAAAAGTTTGCTGATTGTAGTGGTAAATTTGGCCCGATAGTATAATAGTAGGGATAAATTTAAGCCGATAGTATAACGGAGGTTAAATATAAACAATATATGAAAATAGAGGGGTATATTTGGCCCTTTACCTTTTTTGTTATTGTCAATCAATCAACAATCTAACTATTTTATTCCATTTCACTTTATTAAACAAGGTGTTTTCGAAATTGCACACATGTTCTTGCAAAGAGAACATTTTAACTCCAACTAATTGGTGTCATCTACGCGAACCATTTACGTTTTTTTCTGTCTCTAACTAAGCTAGTATAGTACGTATAAGTTTCCAAAGATGTCCTGTTAGATAACTTCATTTTATTTCATTTTTAGCTTTTATTTTGTCTATCACCTTTATCAACATGTTATCACACTCAAAATCAAGTGCAATCAGAGAATTTATTAAGATAATTTGAGCTCATGCCACGTATCTTGTCAATTACAATTATTTGGAAACTCGAGTTTTGGGGACTTGCTAATGTTACATTTTTCAATCATGCCTAAGATCAAGTTCACTCCCATCATAACACGTGTCTGTTTTGCAAAATTTATTTGCGAAACCCCCAATAAATTTAATCAAGTGGAAGCAAAATTAAATTATAGAATGATCCATGTGAGCTGAAAAATGTATACAAGATACAGTTCTGCTTTCAAGTTTACGTGATATTTAATGTTGGCTTTTAGTTAAAAGATATAAGGTGAAGGATAAATGGAGGGAAAAGTAAAATTTTAATTTTTCCTCTTCTATAATTAAGAAATATTATTTTATATTGTAGGAGGAAATCTTATTTGTCGGATATGTATATATATATAATTGTACTTCTTCTAATGATCAATGAAATTATTTGTTGTTTTGTTCCAAATTATAAACATCAAATCTAATGTTGAAAGATATTTCTGAATTCTGATTAAATTTCAGCTTAGCTTGAAAATATCAGGCGAAACAATTGGTTTTCAAAAAGGTAAAAGAGGAAATGCAAAATTTGGAAGACTACAGATTGGCATCACTGTAAATCAAGTTCGTTTTATTGCATTAAAATATCACGTTTCTGTAATTAGATCTGCAAAATTATGGTAGAAAATTTCTTCACAACGATTCCGGCCAAAATTTAATGTATTTTGCAAGTTGCAAAGTTAGCACTTGGCCACTAGCTAGTAGTATATTATTACTTAACCATTTGACTTTTTCCCACAACTGCAATGTCCAAGGTCAAGAACCACTATATACCCATCTTTCATTTCTTTTTTTGTTTAATTCTGATGTGCGATACTTGTATTGAAGCCTCCGATTAATCTGAATTTGCGTGGAGTTAGTTCATTAAAAGGGAAAAAGCTTACGTGAACGCATCGAACATGATCCAAACCAAGTGAGAAACCTTTAAAGGAAATAGTCTAGAAGCAAATAAAAACTTAAAACGGATCATTTGGTATAATGTATAAGCAAAATTAACGTGGGATAAAAATTTAGAACCTCCTCATCCTTTTTTAGGTTATTAATTTTGGGATAATGACAATAACAAAGACAATGTTATAATGACAATAACAAAAACAATGCAAGTTGATGATAACAACAATTAAAGAAGATAAAGAAGACACAAATTTAACGTAGTTTGGTCAAGGTGACCTACGTCCACAAGCAGAGAGGAGCAATTAACTATACCAACAAGAGTTCAAAAGAGAGTACAAAATTAGAGTAAATACTCTAATTAATCCCAAATACCCCAAGAGAATAACCTCACAAGATCACTTCAAAGAAAGGGTTCACACAAGTGTTTCCCAACACTCACTCTTTTACAAAATACGCTATAAAGAAATAAAGGAGGAGAAAGAAAGACAAGAGTTAAAAGCTCTTGAATTGGTGTGTTTTCAAACGAAGAGAAACTCCTCTATTTATAGCAAGAAATCCTTGGCCTAATAGTGGATATTATGTCATGACAAATGTCATGAAAATTTGGCCCACACTTGAGAAGAAGCCAAATTAATGGCCATATTACAGGGATATCTTATACCTGTCAGAGGGTGAAATAGTAATCCTATGATAAGTTGTCCCAGGATAAAACAGTAAAATTGATAATCCCAAGATTAATCCAACGTACTAAAACAGTTAATAAGAAATAATATCAGGATAACTAATCCCAACATAATTATTCATAATCTAACTAATCTCATCATAACTAATCTCACATAATTTGTCTTCAAACTAAACGACCCCAAATTAAAGATTAATATCAGGTTGATTGATTAAGCATAATTAAATCAAGTAGTACGAAGTGCGCAGTTATATTTGCAAATTTTATTAGGTTTGCAACATTGACACAAGGAATAAGTATATATTTGAAGACTCATTTAAAGAAATGTTGTCGCGCTTGACACAACTAAATATTGTCCCCTTGATTTTGCTACAATTACTCTCTCCGGTCCATTTTAAGTGATTTTTTTGGCTTTTTTTTGTGGTTCACAATATTTATTTTTTTCAGATATCAAGAAGGAATTAACTTCTTTTTTTCAAAATTGTCCTTGAAGTAAAGAGCCTAGGAGTAGTTTGTTATATTTTCAATGAGTAAATTAAGGCTAATATGGTCAATTTCATTGTTAATTAATGCTAAAAGATAAATTCCTTAATATGTGTAAAAAAAGTCAAAAAAATCACTGGACCGGAGGGAGTATAGACTACATGATATATTGGATTGAAACTTGCTGTGAGTGTATTTTCCAGTTTTGTCCAATATAATATTTATGATGAAAATAATGTCCAAACAACTCCGAAAATTACTTTATAATTCTTTTCTAGTTGCGTCTGAATCTCTTCATATGGTTGTAGGGCTTCATCAAGTCAATTTGATTAATCTACTCTTATCTCTCTTCAATAAATGTTTATTAATATTATTTACTTTCAAGAATAATTAATATTAAGGATAAAATAAGAAAAAAGTTAATTAATATATATCATGATTTTCTACAATGAATGGGCCAAATATTTTTAGTAATCTTGACAATTAAAAAGGAATGGAGAAACCTGTACAGTGCATGAATTAGAAGGATGAAAAGAAAGTTAAATCTGTTGTCATTTAATTTTAAAAAGTGGCCTTGGAAACTCTTGTGTACTCGCTATGTATGATAGGGATTATGTAGCTAACGGTTCTACCGTAACGCTTAGTATTATCAATAAAATATTTCTCTTTAACCAAAAAAAAAAAAATTAAAAAGTGAACTTAAAATTTATAAAGGTAAGACGTCTGGCGATTAAGACAATTAGTAAGAATTAGTGAGTGATAACAACTCTTTGGTTTGCGTCTCTTAACTAAAATAAAATATTAATAATTTTGTTTACCCGAAAA